TTACGAACCACCCAGATGAGTGGATCGCCAGTTGGTGTTCTTCTGCCTGGGTCGCTCCTGTCTTCTGGGAACAGTAACTACCAGAAAAGTTAATAAAGAAGCTAGAAGAGTTTCATTCATAATACGTACACATCCTATTTGATGTGACCAAAAATTGTAACAGCCTTTTAAAATCTTTTATTTTGAGAAATGTCTTTTCAAGTCCTTTGCCCATTATTTAAGTAAGTCATTGGACTTTGCTATTTGAGTTACTTCTATATTTTGGACAATAATCTCTTATTACACATAGGGTTATCATTTCCTAGGTTTCCTTTTCACTCAGTTGATGGTTTTCTTTCCAGTGCAGAAGCTTTATAGTTTGAGGCAATCTTCTTTGTCTACTTTTGCTTTCTTTCCTGTGCCTTTGATATCATCTCTACAAAACCAATATTCAGAAACTTTCAGGAATTTTAATCCCACTATGTTCTTCTACTAATTACATGGTTCAGGTTTTATGTTTACAGTCTTAATTCATTGAGAGTTGATATTTCTTAATGGTGTGAGATAAAGGTAAAAATAAACACATACATCAAATGACTAGGTCCTACACTTCAGGTATGTGTGATTTTTAATTGTCTCTCATACTTCAATAAAGGTGAAAAAAATAAACATTATTTCCACCTTAGATCAAATCTGTATCTAGTATCTCACTGAGTTTATTTCACTTGTAGCCTGGTATGGTTATTTTCTACTCCACTGTGGCTTTGTCAGGAGGCTATAACCTCAATTTCCCCCTTCATGTGGGTTTTAATGTCCCAGAATGATGAAACGAATTTAACTCTCTAGTCCATTGGGATCCAGGTCTGGTGCCAGAATCTAGACCTCCAGAGAGTAGCAGGGCCCATATCAGAAAATAAGAGGACTTTGTTCCCTGGAATCATTGAATGAAAACACTGTAATGGCAGTCCTCACATTCCCCTACTAAATGTTCACCTTCTCTACCTGTATCCCTTGCCTCTGAGCCTCCTCTTAGCAAACCTGTAAGTACAGGCTGACTCCTCACTCCTTACATACTCATATTCCAACCTTTTCATTTTCCAGGTAATTACAGTCATGAGGACCCTCGCTCTCTTCTCTGCTATTCTCCTGGTGGCCCTCCAGGCCCAGGCCGATCCACTTCCAGAAACATTTGATAAGGTTCAAGTTCAGGAGCAAGCTGCGGCAGAGAACCCAGATGTGGCCATCTCCTTTGCAGGGGATGAAATTTCCGCTTTTCAAGTTTCAGGTGAGAGACAGCAACATGGCAAACCAATGGAGTCTAGTAAGGTCAGACTGGATATATGCTCTAGCATCACATTTGGAATAGTCTTATCTCACTTAGGGGCCTTAATTAACCTCTCTGGGGCTTTATTTTCTCACCTATAAATTGAAGTAAAAGCCAAACAAAACTAAGATATCATCTTGCTTCGAAAACTTTGAACTCTGAGATATGCCTGTGAAATTTACTAGGTTTAAGATGAGAAGAGTCATACTTATTAGCTCATTCTGGATCTACATGAGTAGTCTTAGTTGTAGAGAACATGTTTTACTCTATTTCAGGAGCTTTTAGAAACTGGGACCAGGCCTAAGAGTGTGTTCAGATGTATATGTGAAAGGAAAGACAAATTAGAATGGGTCATCAATGCTGTGTGTCACTCACACTTCGTATATTTATTCCTATTGATTGGGATTAATCATGCTGCTGTTTATCATGTAGGCTACATGACAAACCCATTCAACCTTGCAGTTACTTCTCCAGGACTGTCTTTGCCACCCACCCTTGACTCCAGTACCCAATTCCTAATGTTCTCTCTCTCTTTCTCTCTCTGCCCACAGATCTAGTGAGAGGCATCAATTGCCGCTGCTTTCCAGGATCCTGTCTGTTTCCAGAACGCAGTACTGGATTCTGCCTCATCCGTGGTATCCGCTACTCATTCTGCTGCCGCTAAGCATTGAGAATAGAAAAAAAATGAGTTTATAATTTGCTTTAAAATTGAGATCAGTATTTTTAGTACTCCTGGACCCTGTCCTTAATTTCCTTTCTTCATCCCAAATAAAGTCTTTGTAGCAAGTTCTTTGTGTGTGTACTTCTTTGACATTTGATGTGTACTTTAGACAGAACTCTTTGGAATAAAAGAGAAACTCTTTGTTTCTCTCTGTGAGTTCACATGCCCCATAGCACATGCCCCATAGCACGTGATACATGCAGTATCATTCTTATTTTCAGTTTTTCATTCCAGGTAAAATTTCAATGCATCTGCACAATGGCCAGTTTGCAGACCTAATTCAAGATTTAATCTTTCTCTGTTTAATTCTTAGTCAATTATGAATGACTGGCCAAGGAACCATTAATACAATGAAGTGATTGCATTTTTTGAGCACTAAATGTGCTTAAAAATGAAACTTTTTTTCTAAAAATACAGTTCTAAATTCTAGGAATTTGAATGATGAAGACTGGCTTTAGACACAATTGATATGAAAGTTCAAGTGATGCTGCTGACCATTCTATCTACTTCTGTTTTTTTTTTTTAAAAAAAAAAAAGATTATAAAATTGGTTTATTATAAAAAAAAATTGGGAATACTCAGTTAAAATCTTATCTCAGGACTAGTAGTTAGCATAATGGCTATGTCGCTGGACTCCCACGTAGTCAACCGTGGTTTGCGTCCTGGACCCGGTGGCTTAAACTCACGCCGGGCACGTGTGCATGCATGCCCAAAATCCCGAGAAGAGAATGGAGGAGAAGGGATTGTGGCATGACCATCCCCCCTGGGGGGTGATTTCTCACTTTCTATCACTCTGTCTCTCTGTCTGTCTGGCGAGCGCATGCGCCCTATAGCAAAAAACTCACAAAAAATAAATCTTATCTCAATGTTACTCAATACAAAGACATTTTCATTAGGAATAAGGACATACAACAAGAAAGACCACACTAAGGCTGTGATTCAGACTCAAAAAGAGAAGGACTCTTAGACCTCCTGCAGGTCAGTACAGAGGGCATGATGAGAGCAAAACAGGGTGCAGGTACCACAGTGCTGCTCCAACACAGAGGTATAACTGGGCAAGGTAAAGTTGAAGGGAAATGAAGATCATCATATTCTTGCTTTGTGGATGTACAGATTGAAACTTTAGGAACAACTGTCTTTAATGACAGCAAGATGCAAGATGAGTCTTTATTGAAGAGAAAGACGTTTATAAAATTCTCTGTCAAGGTCCCACTAAATCTTCACAATGTCCCTTCTTTCCACCCTCCTCCTAAGCTAAAGCTACTCTATTGATTTATAAAATGTGATCTTAATTTGTGGCTTACTGGCAAATTTATACCTACTCCTTCTGTCCGTGCATGCCCAAAATTCCAGGAAGAGAATGGAGGAGAAAGGACTACAGCACGGTCATCCTCTCTGGGGAGTGAGAAATCACTTTTTCACTATCTTTCTTTTTGTTTCTCTCTGTGAGTGCACATGCCCTATAGAGTAAGCAGTATCATCCATATATTCAATTTTTTATTCTAAGTAGAATTTCATTATTGCTCTTAAATTCAATGCATCTGCACAATGGCCAGTTTGCTGATTTAATTCAAGATTTAATCTTCCTCCACTTAAGTCTTAGTCAAGTATGAACGACTGACCAATGAGCCATTAATACAATTAAGTGATAGCAATTTTTTGAGCACTGAAAGTACTTAAAATAAAACTTCTAATTTCCAACTTCTATACTCCTCCGAATTAAAGGGCCAAAATACTTAAATTTTTTTTAATTAAAAAAATCTGTCTTCCCAAGCTTTTCAGAGCAGCTTTAGCCAGGAAAAGAGACTGTATGTCTCTTCTAAACTCTTAAAAATAAAAGCTTATTCTAGAAGCATTAAAAGACCCTTAACTCATAGAGATGCTAGCTGGTGCCACTATAATTCACAACCAACTATTCATAGTTTATTCTGAAGAGTGAATTCATGCTTTTTTTTGTTCCTTTAAAAAAATACTCTTCAGGGGACCAGAGATCGCAATGGTTATGTGGCTGGACTCCCACATAGTCGACTGCAGTTTTAGTCCAGGTCCTGGTGACTTAAAACACACTGGGTGAATGTACATGTATGCCCAAGATCCCAAGAAGAGATTGGAAGAGAGGGATTGTGGCATGGCTATCTCCCAGGGGGAGGGGTAATTTCTCACCTTCTATCTGTCTCTCTCTGTCTTTCTAGTGAGTGCATATGCCCTAGCAAAAATCTCTCAAAAAATTAAATACTCTTCAGAAACCATTATTATTCCTGTAGACACATATTCTAGTTATATCCTTCCTGTTAAAATAAAGATGTAATCACAATGACTGGTTAAATTCAACTACCAATATATATTTATTTTTTAAATTATTTAGTTAATTTTATTTATTCATTCATTTATTTTAATTTGACCAGAGAGAGAGAGAGACAAAGTGAGAAAGCAAGCCACCAGGTCTGGGACTAGAACTCTGATTGGCCATGTGGGAATGTCCAGCACCTTAACCACCACATCACCTGCTGGTCCCCACAATATACATTTAATAATCTGATCACTTAACCAGCAAATTTATGACTTTATGGTAGTCTATATACTATCTGAGGTTAACTGTCAGTTTACAGAACTATGAGCAAGTCTTATGAGAACAATGTTGTCGGCAATATTGTCAATCTTATCTTTAACATATTCATTACAAATAAGAACTAAAGTACTAGAATTTACTTCCACAACTAGGGTTAAGGTAAACTTCAAAAGTTAAAAAAGGTAAGCCACTAAAAAGCTTCCTCTGTCATGTATCTTACAGATCTAATCAGTCAGTGATTTCCTCATCAAGACTCAAAATTAGTCCAAAAGAACTAAAGTGAAAAAAATAAAGCCATTTCTTGTTTGCTCCTTACCAAACAATCAGATCCTATTTATTGCGTGCCCAGAGATCAAGGCACGACCCATAGTGTCCTTTCCTAGAACACTGAACTACCTCAAACACCTGCAGAATATCCCCATCAGATTTTAAACTACCTGTGAAATACAAAGTAGGCATGTACTCTAAAGGCATGGATTCAAACTACCATTTTAAAAATAAATTGTTTAAATAGGGACACTTAAGAGGGAAAAAAAAAGCTTTCTTTATCTATCTTGGTGGCAGCCAAAACAGACTACATGTCATTAGGGATGTCAGAATTCATGACTTTCTATGGGCTTGGCATCAGCTCCTCTCCTTCTATGTTAGTTCCATCTCCTTACACTGTTCCAAGGTCCACATTCGTCCCAGGAATGGGTCAAGTGAGTCTAGGAAATGGTTCTGCTGTGAGGGCAGGGTGCTTTGGTTGACAGTGTCACCCATATCCACCTCACCAATGCTGCTCAGGAAGACATCTGGGCTTTGAGGGACACTGCAGCTGCTCATGCTTAGTCCGCTGTACATGCTCTCACCTTAAGAGTGATAGGTGGCACTGTTAAAGGGTTTGGTGGGAGGGCAGCAGGGGCATAATGGTTAAAGCACTGGACTCCCATGTGACCAATGAGGTTCAAGTCCTGGACCTAGTGGTTTAAAACTCATGCTGGGCACGTGTACACACATACTAAAAAAATCTCAAGAGGAGAATCAGGAGAAGGATTGAGGTGTGGCCATCCTCCCTGTGTGTGTGTGGGGGGGGTAATTTCTCATTTTCTGTCCCTGTATCTCTCTCTTTCTGGCAAGCACATATGCCCTATAGCAGAAATCTCTAAAAAGAAAATAAAAAGAATGAAAGAGAGAGAGAAGAAAAGAAGGAATGAAAGAAAGAAGAAAAAATAAAGAAAAAGAAGAAAGAAAACAAAAGAAAGAAAGAAGAATCAGAAGGGAAGAAAGAAAGGAAGAAAAAGAAGAAAAAGAAGAAAGAAAGAAAGAAAGAAAGAAAGAAAGAAAGAAAGAAAGAAAGAAAGAAAGAAAGAAGAGAAGAGAAGAGAAGAGAAGA